AATGAACTTTTGATTTATAACAACAATTATTTCTCTTGACGGAAGATGATCAAAGGCCAAAATGATATTTCTCTCAAATTTTGAAGTGTAAATTAGTGGAAAGTTAAAAATTTGATAACTTTTCCTAATAATTGAATATGTCTACCACTAATTTTGACGTTCTGAATGCTTACATTGAAATTAAAGGAACAAACTTTTACGCTAATTGAAACCACTAATTTATTCCACTAATTGCATTAAACAAATTGCAATTCCACTAAATTAGTGGAATAAATTAGTAGTTTCAATTATACTTTATACTTACTTTTAGTTTACGATCATTCCGAATGTCAAAAAAATACAATTAAAATTAATAGAATATCCTAGCAACAGCTCAAAATGAAGATCGTTGTCATTTTATATATAAAATTATATGAGGAATGTTATTGGTGTTCATTTTCAAGCCAACTGGACGCCGTTTTTTTCGATCCTACGGTATTTGTATGTGCGCGCCTGAATTAAATTATTATTAACGTGTAGGTAATAATATTATTTTTAGTAACCAACTCTGGCCGTTATAAGACACAAATATTTGAATTATATATTTTTTTTTCTTTGAAGATGCGTGTCACCAAAAATGAGTTCGCACGTCAGCACTGAGACGCGTGTCATGGGCTCGCCATCACTTTGTTAGGGTTCCTCTATAGGTTACCAAACTGTTTTAGGATATTCTATTAAATTTAATTATATTTTTTTAGCCACTGTGAATGATCGTAAATTCAGAAGTATAAAGTATAATTGAAACCACTAATTTATTTCATTAATTTTGAGGATCTGAATGAGACTTAAATGTTATAATGAACATTAAGGGTTTTTTGGTTTTTGTCTGCATGTTTTTAGTCTTCGTTCCACTGTGTGCTGCGAGCATGCTATCGATTTGCCATTAGGGCGAGTTATGAATTAAATTAGAACAGCCGTCGCGTAAAAATAGTCGATGGGGATGTTTTTGAATTGGAAATTTGTTAGAACAGCGACAATCGCACATCAAAGTCGCCGATAAATGCGTGTATTTCAGAATGTTTGATATCGGTTATTGTGTGCGCATGGATACTACTTACATTTTGAGGGTGGTCGGTGTAACATTCAGATAACATTTAATAAGATCTGAAGAATTAGTGACCTTGACATTGCATATATTGAATAACGAACATCTGGCATATTTACGACATATTATATAGAGTGTAAGTAAATAAATGCGAAAAAAATTATGAGGGAATTCCTTTTTTAAAAATATCGGGAGGTCAAGAAATAAATCGTAAATTATTCGATTGTGCGTTTTTCTCCATAATAATTTACTTGTACAAGTTTATGTGACTTGATTGGTCAAAGAATGTTTAGAGAAGCTGAATAAATTAGGGATAGAAGGTAATAAAAAAGCAAACGATCTAGCTAGAAAAGGAGGGAACACTCCACTAACTGGATCAGAACTGTTCTGCTGTTCCCAAGTGGAAATGAACTGAAGACTCTATCCATAGCCTGGAATGGGAATCCTCCAACGGTCTAAGACACTCGAAGAAATTTGTCAGAAGTTACGACCGAGAAAAATCAAAGATTTTTCCTTCATTTAAGTAAGAATAATATTCGGATTGTCACGGGGTTTTTAACAGGACACTGTCTCCTCAATGAACACTTCATTATGTTGAAGCTAAGAAACAACGGCGAGTGCAGATTTTGTGGGGAAAATAGGGAAACAACAAAACACCTCATCACTGAGTGCGCCGAGACGACAACCATTTGTGACAACGATGTTATCAACGACTGATATCGGAGATGGAGAACTAACCCCTATAAAACCGTTTCAGATACTGGTCTTTGTCCAATGCCTGAGACTGTATGATGAGTTATAACTCAAGAAAGGGGGACTCAGTAGATCTATAAGGTCGCCGTGATTACCTTTATTTATGTTATCCACACTCATATTTAAACCCTCCAGTGTGAACGAACAGTCTTTAAAAAAATCGATTATATCAATATTTTAATTCAGCCTCCTCAAGCAAATTATTGTGTAGGAAATCAAATAAATTACGAAAAACTCTATAACTATTTACATTAAATTTATTTAAATATTGCACCCAAACAAGTCGAATGATTCTTTAGATGTCAGACAGACGATGTTCGAAAAGCTACTTCACTCGTAATATACATGATCGAAAAAAAAATCGGCGTCAGCGATGGCTATGAAATGATCGCTGTTATTTTATATGTAAAATTATATGGGAAATCTCATCGATCGTCATTTCAAAGCCAACTGGGTGCCGTATTTTTCGATCATACGGTATTACTATGTATAACTTTTATCACCCTTAACTTTCTACACTCTTTTTCTTCATTGAGAACTAAGCAAGGAAATAAATAAATTACAATATTATTAATCCCATTAACAAAGCAGGAACATTTCAATGTCAACATTTTCAATTAAAATTGACTTACTATTACAAAAATATGACATATACTTTCTGGTTAACCTATGCGCAAAATATATTTTCAAAAAGCTCCATCTACTTTTATTCTTTAACTATAAAATTTAATCAGCCCTCTTAACTGTTAAATCTTGATATTTACAGTAAAAACTTATTCTTTAGAAAAATAAAGGAATCTCAAAAATGTCCGCATAAGACGAGAGTAGAATGAATGAACAGACCGATCGATAGACACAAATGAAACAGGCGTGAACCATTTCTTCAATTTATTCCGGTTGAATTGCCACACGGGTCTTAGCAGCTTTCAAAAATATATAAAAATATTAGAAAAATAATATGAAATATTTATTAAATAGAAATATTATACGGTAGGGTGTTACGTTTAAGATGGAGAACATTTTATATGATAGTTAACTAAAAAAGCTACCAAATTATCTTCAAATGAAGCTACTTGTCTACTATTAAATTATAAATATAACCTTTTTATTTTAATTTAATAATAATTTTTTATTTTTTTGTACTTAAAAATTAAACAAAAAAACGTCAACACAATGAAAATAAGTTTATAAGTTTAGTTATGACTTTTATGTTTCCAGGGTTGTCCTTAACGATGTTTAATTTATACTTTTTCAACCATACAAAATTGTACTTATTGTAGGTATAAGATATTAAAAACGATGATAATTATCCTTTAATTATTGACTGAAACTAATAAATTAATGTATTTTGCTAACCAGTGATTAAATACTCCTATTGAAATGAAAAAAAAATATAAAATTGTATAACAACTATTTCCAAATGATTTGTCCAATATTCTGTACAAAATTAATACGAAATATTGCACTCTACAACAATCGAGATTACATTGGAAATACGTTCCATTTTTAATATACAGGGTGTGCCACTAAGAATAGCTCTCGGCTGTATCTCGGAAAGTATCAGCTGTAGGGCCTGCGGAAAAAATATTTATAACTAAAGATACTATGAGAAATTGCTGGAAATTATTTTCAAGTTTGTAGAACGGCCGCTAGAGGGCGCAACTGCTATAAAAAATAAGAAAAAGGTGTTTTTACACAATTCTGCCTAGATAACGGGTACTATAAATAATAGCTGCATAATCTTCAGTAAATTTTGAATATTTTTTGTTAGAACCATTTTCCCCTATCTGCTAAAATAAAGTGGTGGGGGAATGTTAGATTTATTTTTATTTAAATATTAATAACTCCGGACTGAACGGAATTCAACAAACGAGGGCTCATTTAAAAGAGCGTTTCTTACTCTATATTATGCCGTATAAACAGTAATAATAAGCTTTTGAATGTAGACGCTAGGGGGGCGGTGTCTTACAATTTAACAAACATTGCACGTTTTTTCAAAAAAATTAAATGTGATACTATATGTAATTTTAGCTGATATTGAAAGAATAATAAAGGCATAAAAAGTCAGCGAAAACCGCATCTTGTTATCCTCTTTCAAACCGAAGATATTAGCAAAATTATAATAAATACGTAAAAATAAACCCTTAATTACCTTATTTATAACACGGTTACAGTAGCCCTCTTGATTATGACTATTCTAATAAAAAATAAGACAGAAACGATTAGTTTGTTCTAAAATCGACGATATACCAGAATACCATAATACTAGATGTATTAATTTCTAATACTTAAGATATCAATGACAGTGAATAAGAAATGATGCCTCAGTGAAGTCATGGTAGGCTTTGGAAAAATGTTGCTTTTAACGTAATAGTGTAAACGTCAAAGTGTTATTTGATCAAGATTTTGATAGTGTTAGCAGCGTTTTTCTCTTTTAAAGAAAGGCATTTTTAGAAAAGCAATCAAAAGATAAAAAAAAACGCTGCTGAGACTATCGAAATGTTGATATAATAATATTTTGATGTTTAAACTATCCCTTTAAAAGCAACTTTTTTCTAAAGCCTACCATGACTTCACTAAGGCATCGTTTCTTATTCACTGTCATTGGTATCTTAATTATTAGAAATTAATACATTGTCGATTTTAGAACAAACTAATCGTTTCTATCTTATTTTTTATTAGAATATAGTCATAATCAAGCACGCCTGTGAGATTGCTTGCGAATACGCTGAGTGCGCAATATGTGAGTAGTGTCGGTTTTTTCTCGAGATCAAAGAAACATACGTGTGCGTTCGCGCTTAGTTTGGACGTTGCTTGTGCGAAGAAGAATATTATTTAGGACATCGGATATAAGCATTTAATATGGAGTGTTTACATGAACATTGTTTGGGCATCTGAAACATAAATTTAATTTTTCAAAAATCAAAAAAGAAGATGCTTGGTAAAAAAAGAGAAATAGACTAGAAATAGATAAAATATTGAAATGGTCTGAGCGCACGCATGCGTTTGCAGTGATTTTCTTCGCATGACGTGAGCGCGTATGACTTCAGGGCGCACACGTAAACATGCGTGCTCAACACATTCGCGCTCAAGTCTGTACGCAGCTTTAGATTCATAAAACTAAATTATATTATTGTATGAATTGATATACTTTATGTTTTACCTTGTAGTCAAACGTCAGTCTCAATGCTCACGGCGTTGATGTTATTGTTGTGGCGTGGGTTACAATTCTGCTTCCGAGCGAGTTGGTCGCGCGTCACCAGGAGTCCTTCTTCTAGCTCAACTAGATCGCTCGATGATTCACTTAACGAACCCTATACAAAGAATGGTTTTACTATATTTTTTGCGTAATTTCTGTTTAAAAGGTTATTTTCTATATAGGGTGTCCCAATATTCAATTTCTTTCATAATTTAGTAGATTATGAGATACAGTTTTTAATATGTCAAAATTGCTAACCTTTTAATATAATTTACTATTATAAATAATTATTTGAAGCATTTTTACTGCTTTTATATGCTCTGATGGTAAATATATTAAAAATAAGATTGATAACATTTTCATTATTTGTAGAGAAATTAGCGATATATTTTATTTCAATTTTGTTAAAATTATTATATAAAAATTTAAATATAAACACATTTTTGAACAGTAGTATTAGTAGCACCAAATAAATATACGTTATAACATGTACTATTGATGTAAATACATAGAGGGTGTCCCAATATTTAGTGGAGACATGTTCCTGTAGCTTTAATATTTAACGTTTTTTGGAAGGGTTAAAACTACCCCCACCCCTATATAAACTTCAGTAGATTTTTTTAACTCCAATAAACTGAATTTTTTTTGTATAATAATCCTTTGAGTGCATGTTTTATCTCATGTAAACAACGCCTCCTAGCATACTTTTTGAGTAAACATTTTTTTTGAAGCTGACTTACAAAAAATATTTCTTGTTACATCAAGCTTGTAGGAACATAAAATCTTGTATGCGCTAAAAATATAGCTTCATAAAATTTAAATTAATTAATGTTTGGGTTTATTTTTCATTCAACTCTAACGGACAAAAAAATAAATATTGTATAGAGGCAAATGATGTGCAATTATTTTATGTTGATTCCAACTATGGGTAACTTCTATATCTACGGAATATTTGGACTCTGTATATTTTGTAGATTCGCTTTGGGAAAAAAATTCTTAATTTTTTTTCAAAATCTATGCCAAGTAGTGTTTTTTTACAAGAGACAAAAAATGTAGTACTAGAAGGACCATTTTACAAAAAAATTGGTCGTCATTGGAGTTAGAAAATATTTCTTTTAGAATTTCTGTAGTACCTTTTCGTACCTTTTCTGTTTTCTGTGAAAGTGAAATGTTAAAGCGCCTATAATAAAATATAGTCAAATCTTATTCAAATCGGAATATCGGTTCTTAAAATATCTTAAAAATTGTGTTTATTTTTTAAAAATTTCCTGCCCTCTGACGGCAAACAAAGCACTTTTGTTTAGAGGTAAGTTCTGTCCAATGAACTTATTTTGATTCCAAAAATATGTAGTAGTTCTATGGAAAAAAACATAAAAAAGATATACATAATCAGAAAAAAAATATATTAAAACTATTTGATATAATATTTGTGATTCGATACTCAATCCACTGAACTTATGATAATAAAATATCTTACTTAAAATAACAATTCTAGTTAAACATACATATAGACGATACAGGGTGACTCAGCTTTCGGAAAAAGCTTAGCATCAGGTTTGTATTTGATATTTCTACTAGAATATTTTCAAATATTAATGTGTTAGTTTTTTAAATTGAATGTTGCCTTTTTTGGCCAATGGAATGACCATTGAAGGCAAACAAGGACAGAGAGAATTTTCTCTTGTTAAAGTCAAAATCTTCAAAAATTATAAAATCGTTTAAAATTTAAACCGCCCCTATTGAAAAAAACACTGAAAAGTGTTTAAAGCATCCTTTTCAAAGTAATTATTTCCATCTTGTGAGTTCATTTTAAATTTTATTTACCCAAACCCGTGATAATTTTGAAAAAGTGGCATTAAAAAAAATTAAAAAGCTGTGTGAACTGGGAACTGCAAAAACCATCGTTGCGTAACATCTGTTTCCAAAAAATGATCATATTTTACAACCGTGAATTAATATTGTTATACCTGGGGGATATGAGTAAAAGTAGTTATTTTGCTTCACCCTGCTGTTTTTAGAGTTTTTTAATATATTTTAGTAATTTCATACATGCCCTTATATAAAAAATAAAATTTCTTATATACAACACACCGCATTTTATTTATAAAATTAAAAAATAATAAATATGAATAAACAATATTTGGCGGTATAATACCGGAAAAAGCCGAACGGCTCCGAAATTATCAAAAGTTTTGGATCGCGTCCGCTGCAAGTTTAGTACCAAATACTATTTACATTTTTCTTATTGGATAAAGATTGGGGACAGTACTACTCAATCTAAATATGTTTCATTTATGTAGACGTTTACATACCTTTTTCATATGTTGCCCTAGCGTTCCTGGCAAGTACGGACAGCTAGTCACGTGGTTGAAGTTTTGTGATTGCATTTCCTCTTGATCCGTCTCACGGTGATAGAAATAGTTGAAATTCGATACGATAACCGGGACTGGCAGCGCTATGGTGAGCACACCAGCTATCGCACAAAGCGAACCCACGATTTTGCCCCAGACTCCAACCGGTCTGAAATTTTCATTATTCAACATGGGTTAAGATGATTTTATTCGCTTAAGGCTGGAGAATCAGTTTCCATATTTATGTTTCAGCTATAAAATTTGGCATTGATTTGTCAAAGATTCTTAAAATATTTCAATATAAATCATAATAGATAATAGACAACTAAAAAATAAAGGTAGATGCATGTACTCGTATTACTGCGGGTTTGATTCTAGAGAATCAAGTAAACATAAACTAAGTAACCCAGATTATGATGATTATATTTATCTACAAACTCAGTTTTATTACAGATCATATACATCGGTAATATTAAATCAATACATCATAATCTTATTCTACCACATTTCTTTCTTGCAATAATATATTTAGGTATATTTTATTGCAGTTACAAAAATCGAACACAACAAGTAAAAATGTTGTCTGATTTCTTAATATTGTATGGGTATTGAGCCTAAAGCTTTATTCACAACTTCAAAATTAGTGGAAAAAATGAGCGATTTCAATTAGCGTAGAAGTTTGTTCCTCTAATTTTAATGTAACCATATAGACCGTCAAAATTAGTGGTAGTAAAGCTTCATTCAGAACCTCGCAATTAGTGGAATAAATCAGTGGTTGTAATTAGAAGTTTGTTCCTTTAATTTCAATGTAAGCATTCAGAACGTCAAAATTAGTGGTAGTCATTTACGAAGTACATTAGTGGTACTCCTGGGTAAATGAATTTGTAGATATAATATGACTTTTTTTGAAAGTTTAGTTTCGGCTCAATTAGTAATGTCATTTTGGCCTTTGATTTATCCACCGTCAAAAAAAATTGTGGGGATAAATGAGAAGTTTATAATAAGATAGTCTATTATAGTATATTGCTAGTATATTCTATTAATTTCAATTGTATTTTTAAGACATTGTGAAGGATCGTAAATTTTTAAGTATAAAGTATAATAGAAATCACTAATTTATAGGTTTTGAATGAGACTTAATAAATTACTGTTTATTTGCGCATTATTTAGCAAATTTCATTAATGCATTTAAATAACTTGAATAAAAACACAGGACTACTCACACCCGCAGTTATAGCAATAGTTACCCTGTAATTAAGAAATGTAGATTTTTCAATTAATTTTTGAAATATTACATTGATTTCTTAGATGTCTATTAGTGCAAATAAATAAATAGTGCACATTTTTTCAAATCATATATTATTGCTCGTGCATAACTCTTAAGAATATGATGTACAAATTATAATAAATTTTCTCTGCTGGTAAAATAGCATATTCAGTGTAAATCACCCTTATTGTTAAAATTAGTAAAACTGCAATATTTATACGTTTACATAAATATTTCAGTGTAAAATTAAATAAAATAACATAATTAAAATATGTTATTTGAAGCCTAGACCAAAGTTTGATTAAATACGGTTCTGATAAAGTTAATAATAAACTACTCATCGATCTTTTTAATGAACTTTTCTTTAAGATTCTGATAATTTGATAGATAGCCTAAATATGGAAACTGACTTTGTTTAAGGTACATAAAAATTGTATTTGCAATTGTATTTGATATATCTATATGGATATTCTTCATATACTACAGTCCTTATTAAATAAAATTTTTATATACCATGTGTGTTAATGGATGATTAAAATATATTAAAATAAGTAACAAAGCCATGCTATAGAAGAGGAAGGAATGCTGTTAATAATAATTTAACCTTGAAATTAATTGTTTAAGGTTGTTGCTATCAAATTGGATAAAAACACTAGCACATGCGGGACAAATCAAATTAGGAAAATATTTCGTAACAATTTAATAAATTGTGTGCCTGCATTACCGGCTTGATAATATTAAATTGAAAAAAAAACAAAATTCTTATTAAATTGTTAGATAGCTCGTGTTAGTTTGAAATTTAGAAAATTCTTTGGTCCTAGGCTTAATTTTAATTTGGTTGTCTGTACACAGTCCTGGGCAGCATTACCATACCAATCGAAAATGCATTTTCAAGCATCTTTACATCGAGCATACAGTAGCATTACGGTTCCACAACAGTTAGAAAGAAGTCAATCGTGGGCAGACATGGCAACATTGATAAGTGCCATTTGGACGCGTTCTTTGGAGCAAAGAATTTTCTCTAATCCAGTGTTTTCGTTTGTTAGTTACTTTGTTACTTTTGTTTATTCTTGTTAGTATTATGCATTCATCATCTTCACAATATTTCTGTAAATAATAATTAAAATGAAGAAAACCACCGTTCGCTGATATAGAAAAAAACTTGATAACTTATAAAAAAATAATAATAATAGGAAAAACACTTAGTAAAAATAAACTCAAATAAAAAATCATAATCAGACTATTTCACTTTACATTTTATAATTTTACACTGATTAATTTCTGAAAATAAATATATAGAAAAGCTAATAGTTCATCGAGAAAAATATTAAAAAATATTACATGGTACTGTACTAAACTTAACTCCTAAGATTCAAAGTACTGTGTTTTAAAGCAGAGTTCAAGAAGCCACAATAGTAAATGATTTTTAGTGAATTTGAGCAGAGTTTTTATATTGTTGTATTTCTTTAAACATTTTTAAAATTCTTGTTAATTTCTAAATCATAATTAGATTTAAAATTACTAAAAATAATTTGGTACACAAATTAACACATTACAGTAAGCAGAAGCAATAGATATTTAGTATAATATGGTTATCATATACAAAAACATTGTGAAGCGATTGTTATTCTCAAACACAATTAGTTGTACGAAATAATTTATGTATAATTAACACGTCTGTACTAAAGAAACTTTCACTTTTTGTAATTTAAACTCGAATAGTGTATGTCAGGATATAATTATTTTTAATAAAAAGTTCACTTAAAAAATTAAAAAAAAACTTCAGTATCGAATTTTTTTCTATGATATTTAAAAGACTGGATTCAAAATGTCAAATAAATTATTTATCGACAAACGATTTCCATACAATTTTTATTTAATAAAACTAATTTTTTTCACCATTATCCTGTATACATATTGCGAAATAAATAGGTATGAAACATGATTAAATAGGATTTATTCTATTAATTATATAAATTTACAAAGTTTTGCCAGTTAAAATTATAATTAGCCGAACGCTACGCCAGTTATTTTTGAATAATATTTAATTAACTTAATTTGATTGATCTTTGTCTAACCCATTTAAAAAGTGATCAAATTTTCTTAATATTTAATTTTTAAAACATATAAGTGAAAGTTTCAATATAGTATACAGATGAAAATCGTTATAGTATCTTTGAGTTAGTCCTTGTAGCGAATTGCTTATTTGTAATCAGCTTTTAGAATAATAAATATATCTATATATATATATATATATATATTGTATATATTACATTGGTTAATGTATCAATTAAAAGGGTTTAAAATTGTCAAGTTAATTTTTAAGAGTGTTGTCACTAGAACAAACGTACGAAATATTAAAATATACAGAGTGAGTTTTAAATAAGTGCAAATATTTTTAGGAGCAGTCCAAAAACACGATTATGGTTTATTTCGTGAAAAAAAAATTGAAAATTTGGAATTTTTTGAAAAAAAATTAGAAATTTTTTAGTTTTTAGTTAAAAAACATAATTTATTGATAATATGGCAACATAGGAAGTAGATTAAATTAAAAAAGAAAATCCAGACAAGATCCAGTGGTTCTTAAAATTTTAGCAAAAAATATATTTTTTTTAAATTTCAAAGTAAAATAACTCGGATAGTTTGGACTTATTTGAGAAACGGTAAAGAGAAAATATATTTTTTCTTTTATCGGGATCTACCAGCCCTGAAAATATTTGTATTTATTTAAGACTGACTCTGTATAGGCCCTTTTTAGGTTTGCTTTTTAATTAATAACAAGGCTTGTAACTTTCCTTCATTTAAACACGAATTGGTGTTTAAATTTTAACGTCTTAAAGATGTTTTAAACTTATTTGTTATTATTTATATAATTGTTGATATAGCCTTCTAAAGTGTCAGATAATTTGTTTTTAAGAACTTTTTAACATATATGCATACGATGTCCTTTGACACAATATTAACATATATTTTAGTGTATTTAGTGGGTGTCATGAATTTAAATTTACATGGATGAAATATAAGTATTAAAGGCGTATAAGTATTATTTAAGTATATAAGCATTATTGGCAACGGTTTATAATTAATTTGAAACTAATCTGATTTTAAATGATCTACGACCAAAGATAATATAATATATACAACATACACGAATATGGAATGAACTATTTTAGTTGAAATAAGATTCTTAAAAAATATTTAGATTTTGCATTGAATAAAAAAAGTAAGGAAGGAAGAATGTACTACTTTTATATCATACATTAATTTTCTCTCTTTAAGTTTTATTATTTTTTATTTATTAAATAATTGGTTTTCTACAATGTGTATGAATATGGAAAGACATTGTGTCAGGACGTAGGTAAATTACTAAGTGAAATTATTGTTAATCTTAGAAAGACTTTTCAAAAATAGTTATTTGTGCAGCATGTGATCGTTTTCAAATTAAAAATATGAATAGATGGAATAACTTTCACTAATAAGTAATTATACATATAAGCAGAAAATTCTTATCTATTATTTCTAATAGATTTCGAGATATCGATTTTTGAATTCAGAGTTCTAATAGCGCGACCACTGTCGATCACCAACTCAATTCCGCTTATTTTTACCAAAAATGCAAGTGTCTCTAACTTGCATTTAAAAATTTTCAAGCTGTAGGGAAAATTACAACGACTCGTTAATCAAAATAAACAAATAATGTATCACGAGATGTAATGAAATCCAGAAGCTGAATGCATGATGTATACCTCTCCCTAGAATTTTAAGTACTGATCACAGATACTGATAAAGATAGATGATTGGGTCGACCGGTTGACTGCGACAAATCTGCTATATCCCCTTCCACGACTCTTAGCAATGTGCACAGTTGCTCGGTTTATTTCATACATTTGGCAACGTGTTTACTGTTCTCTCTTTGTTCAGTACATTATAAACGCATTGTATTCTTCATACATACGGATATCTCGACCCAAGACTAACCTTTGCCAGCCCTTAGTATAGTCACCTACCAGTGAAAATTTATTCCATTATTTCCCTCGATTTTTGACCGAGAACTACCGTACTCTACATACCCAACTATTTTTTTTTTCGATAATGTTAACTGTTAATTAAAGTCCTGACACAATTCAAATCAAATTCAAATGTTTAATACTGTGTGTTTAGCGATCGTTCAATGTTACATCGTCATTATTTGTTAAATATGCGTTTTCGGGTGTGTCTGAGATCAGTTCATATTGTTTAGAAAATTTTAAGTACGTTCTGAAATTAATAATTGAGTGAGTTCCGTTTTTATTAAATTCATGTAGGTATGCTAGGCATTTATTCATTTTGATTATCTTTAAATTTATATTTTTGGGCGCATATACCGTTTTTTTCAGGCAAATCGTGCTTATTTTAAAAATAAACTGATGAAAAATTTGATGAAATTGAGATTCTATACAATAAAAAAAATCAATTTTAAATTAAAATTCAAAAAGTCAGAATTAAAAACTGTTTGACGCCCTAATCAAATTTTAGTTTTGACATTAACCGATGCCCGTCAATAAAATTATAACACCAAATCAAATAACAATGATTTAGTAAAAACAAAGTGCAGTAATTTACGAAATGCCGCGCTGTAACTAATCTGCATCATCTGGTTACCAAGTGAAAGAGGGAGTTCGACAATATATGACGTGAGTTTGAACGATCGCCGAACAATATTGTACTAAAAAATGTCTATACCTCTGTGTCTCAAAAAAAAGTCCTATGGGTATTTCACCATTTGCACTGTAAAAAATCTACAAAATAAAATAGTTACTTTTTGTAAACATTTTTGCGTTAATTCAACGGAGGTCAACTTGTCAGCAGTAATTTACTAATAAACACATTTGCCTAATGGACAAAATATGCTTAACGTTCCGGGAAGTATATCTCTTCCTGTCGTCGAAAGCAAAAAAACACAAAGAACAAAGAAAAAAGATATTTAAAATATCTAAATACAACTATTTAAGAACGCTTTACTTTTTTTTAACAGATACGTCTACAAAAACCGTTGACGTTCTGTTAAAATGACATTATGACATCGAGTTAAACTTCAAAATTAACAATTACTATAATACCTGATAACAATTAGAATTACTTTGAATGTGACTTCTTTTAGTTTACTTAAGGAGGTACAACCAAAAAGCCTTACTTTCTGTATATTATTATTTTTTATTACTATTTTATTTTGTAGATTTTCTTACAGTGCATATGGCGAAAGACCAACAGGACTTTTTTGAAGAAATCTACTACTTCCTTAATCTTAATTTATTCAAAGGTTATTTCTTTCTGATCGATTTCACAATAATTATACAGGTCTACAAAAAAAATTGGTGGTGATAATTCCATCTAATAATTTGATTAACTAATCCCCAAGAAGTCATGTAGAGGGGCGAAAACAGTGAAACTACGTGCAGGTTCATAACTATAGGTATTTATCAAAAATAGTTATATATCGATATATTTAATAGTAACTATGTAGTAAACTTTTATACCTGAAACTATGCCTTTTATAAAGAGATATTACCTTTTTCCTATATTTTTTCAATTGTGTATGTTGTGAAAATAAAGATATTTCGTATATACTAGTTATGAAGCGGAACATATTTCAATACGTCAAAGGAGTATGAAAAATGTTACTTAATTGCCAAAATTTACAAAAAAAAAATATTTCATCACATTATTTTATTTTTTTGCCATTGTGAAAAATTTAAGCAGATAAGAAGGTTGAAAATTACGAGGAATTAGTTTTAGACCTGTTAATGAGCTTTAAAAATCTATTATCTACACAGTTACTTAAATATGGGAATGGGTCCTAAAGCCTTGGATCAAGTCAACCAGATGCTTTCATATAATTATATCTATATAGATGTTCACTTCTACGCTGTTTAGATGGTATCAAATGTTTTATCAAAGTTGAATTGGACGGCTTCGTAGCATCCAAATAAGTTGGACGCCAGCCTACCTTTGATGCAACTTTGATCTTAAAACACCTTACAACTCGATTTTGATCAAAAAGTCAATACTATACAAGCAGCGTACAAGTGAGACGCGTGCAGCATTATTATAAGTACAGTTATATGGCAGCATCCAAGTGTGCTTGGTCTAAGTACCTTTGATCGTCTCATCCCGCCTTTTTAGGACTTTCAGCGTAGAAAATTAAAAAAAAATTAGCTTTTAACTTGTAGAATAATCTCATTAATTAATTTAAAATTGTTTATTTTCATTTTGTTATAGTTTTGGTGGCACCAAAATTATTGTAGACCTGTGTTATGGTTAGAGCAATTGCTACTTGGGACGGTGTGTAAGTTTCGAGTAAACCAAAGTAAAATGACATATATGTAAAATTAGTCGTTAGCTACGGTGGAAGGCAACTAAATCTTAATCAGGTGTGTACTTCATACGTCATGTCGCCGTAGCCGACGGTCGTCATGGTGACGACGGCCCACCAGAACGCGTCCGGGATGGACTTGAAGAAGGAGTTCTCGCTGCCGGCCTCGGCAAAGTACACGGCCGACGAGAACAGAACGACACCTGCAACCAACCAAGGCCACATCTAGCACCGGTCCCGGACAAAGTCGGTGGAAAACAACAGTGCTGCTACGTCATTACACTCGAAGGAGCGCATCGGCAGTCTCATTTTTAATTTCACTGGTACAAGTTTAGCTCAGTTTTGTTTAGATACTTCCCAAGACCTAATATTAGTGATGGGCATTACGATTCTTTTTCTTTTTAGTGAATCGAATCGCACGATTCAATTTCTCATATTGAATCTACTCCTACGATTCGTTCATTTGAACGAACCACATGCACAATTTACGTTTCATAAAAACAAGAATCGTAACTGGCACTACCGGCGATAATTTGCCCGGACAATTGCTTAAGGGACCACAAAAAGAGACATACAGTTCTTTCATTTGTTTTTCAACACTTTATGACACTGGCGTAATTGGATTGATTATATTACCAATAATATTAAATTATCAATCCAATTCAGATATACTCTTATTTGGAGTTGCAAAAAACACGATTTCGTCTTTTAGTCCGACATTTAATGGTTTATAGTCGGTAATATTATTTTAACAAAAATATTAACGTGAAAATTAAATACCTTACAGATACTCCCGTACTAAGCACAGTATAAATAAGTTTTTTTATTGTAAATAATGTTCTTATCGTTTGCATTTTATGCCCATGATGTTTGTTTAGGGCTTTTGTTCAAGTCTAAATATTGGTGCCTGACTCTATCCTATATCACCGCCGCGCCGCACACTGGTTCGCTCTTATGGACGTACGTGGCCAAAACCTGTATTTTATTATATCAGTGAAAATGAATGTATCAGTTAATATTTTTTAGTAAATCTATAAATATTTAGGCGTTTGGAGTTGCCTAACATATAAAAAAAGTTCTTTATCATTAGGCGTTTTCAATGATGATGGTTCATTAGAATTTAAAAGTGTTATTATTTACCAATAATTACAAGGGTATTACTTTATAAAGGTATTTAACAAAAATTGAAAAAAAAAACAGATTGAAGAATGGTTAGAACATAACCGGTATATAGTTCATAAGCTAATAAATAGATAGATACAGAGTGGCCTATTAGTGTGAGAAAGTCCAATATCATCGTTGTAGACGAAAATATGAAAAAAAGTATTATATAGATATTTGCATGGTTTATAACAGTGCATATCCTAAAAATATTTTGTTATATACAGGGTATCAAAAAAAGTAATGATAAAGCGTTGTCTTTTTTAAATCACAGCTCCCATTTTTCTGTACATAATTCGATTCAGCATAAAATTGTGCATATAGGACACTATTTTTATTTGGAAAACTATGCGGTGTTGCCATGCTATTTCTTCTTTATTAAAATTTTGGTTAATAATAGTAGGTACCTACATATATCCGAAAATTGGTTAAAACCTGAAGTTAATTTATATTTGTTAATATCTAGTACTATACTATGTTAATACCCTGAACTTTACCAATATTTTCTTAACACCAAAGAAACGAGAATAAATTTGTGAAGAAAAACTCACATTAATGTGTGCCGGTTATTTTTTTATGGCGTGGCTAACAATGTAATATTTAAAATACTCTATTTCAATTTTTTAAATGCACATTTCTTAGCCATGCAACATTTATATAAAACTTTTGTTTACGAAGACAATTTATGCTGAATAGCAGATATTAGCAGCTAATTTGACATGGTTCTTAAAAAAGACATTATGAAGTTTCATTTAAGTTAAAAACAATCACTTAGTTCAGCTTCGATATCCTTGATTTAGTTATGTATAAAAATATATTTCAAAGGTACAATATATTTTGATATTTTGAAATGGTTAGTATTATCTTTTTTTCATTTTATTTATCAAAAACTGATATTATATGAGGAAAGTATACGTGCAGTATAGTCTAATTATAATATGCACTATTTTATATTATTTTGAAAACACTAAGCGAGTAATTTATTCATTGTCGATACAAAAATAGTTAAATGCTTTTTTAGACTATTGTATATAAAATGTTATTACATAGGTGCTCTAAAGTGCATTTTTCCAAAATATATTTTTATAACAAACCTTTCATGTTTTTAAATATAGATTATAAAATATTTGATCATATATGATCAAAATAATTTTTTTCGATATATTGAGTTTTGGCCAAATTTTTATAAGGGAGGGAACTACTGTGCGCCGCGCCGTAGAAACGAACGATCGCATTGTGAGGCGATTCAATTCTCACGACTCTTTTTTACGGCTCATCGTTCAAATCTTATGGATCCGTGCTGGCCACGATTTAATTGAACGAACCGTATTGTAAGCAATGAATCAATTCTGACGACTCTTTAAACGAACGGTCACATTGTGATCCGATTCAATTCTCACGACTCTTTTTTACGGCTCCGTGTTGGCCACGATTCAATTGAACGAACCGTATTGTAAGCAGTGAATCAATTCTCACGACTCTTGAACCGAACGATCGCATTGTGATCCGATTCAATTCTCACGAGTTTTTTTTACGGCTCCGTGTTGGCCACGATTCAATTGAATGAACCGTATTGTAAGCAATGAATCAATTCTCACGACTCTTTAAACGAACGATCACATTGTGATCCGATTCAATTCTCACGACTCTTTTTTACGGCTCCGTGTTGGCCACGATTCAATTGAACGAACCGTATTGTAAACAATGAATCAATTCTCACGACTCTTTAAACGAACAATCACATTGTGATCCGATTCAATTCTCACGACTCTTTTTTACGGCTCCGTGTTGGCCACGATTCAATTGAACGAACCGTATTGTAAGCAATGAATATTGTAAGCAATGAATATTGTAAGCAATGAATATTGTAAGCAATGAATCAATTCTCACGATGTTTTAAACGAACGATCGCATTGTGACCCGATTCAATTCTCACGATTTTTTTTACGGCTCATCGTTCAAATCTTACAGATCCGTGCTGGCCACGATTCAATTGAACGAACCGTATTGTAAGCAGTGATTCAATTATCACGACTCTTTTTTACGGCTCATCGTTCAAATGTTATGGATCCGTGCTGGCTACGATTCAATTGAACGAACCGTTTTCTAAGCAGTGAATCGAATTTCACGATTCATTTTTAATACTCGTTCAAATGAACGACTCGTTCAATATTTGCCCACTTCTACCTACTATACAGGGAAATTCAAATTCGGAGCCCCCACCTTGGGCTCTTTATAAATAAAAATTATAAGAGGTACGAGGATGGTTATACAGGGTGTCCCAGAAATAAGTGCAAGTATTTTAAGGGATGGTAGATCTCGATAAAAGAAACATATTTTCTCTTTATCGTTTTTCAAATAAGTCCAAAATAACCGAATAAATTTTTAAAAAAAATATTTTTTGCTAAAATTTTGAGAACCACTGGATCTTTTCTGGATTTTTTTTCTTGTAAATTTAATCTAATACCTATGTTGCCATATTATCAAGAAATTATGTTTTTTAACCAAAAACTAAAAAAAATTTCGCGAAAAAAACCTCATAGACGTGTTTCTGGGGTTGAACTATACTACCAGTTAAAATACTTGCACTTATTTCTGGGACCACCATGTATTAGGGCAAAGTTGTGCATTAATGTGCTTAATATATGCCGATGCCGTTTAGAAAAGTTTTTAAAATTCCGAGTAGATCCGGAGATATTCGAGAAAAACCGATAATTGAAGATTTCGGTTTTATTTTTTTCTGACGTTATTTGATAAGTTTCGCAAAATTAAAGGCACATTTTCATTGCCACTTATTTTCAGGTAGACAACAGTGTTTTCAGATTTGTCATCCAACGTTTCATCTTTTGGCCCCTATAACCAACTTTATTTTTTCTTATAGGCGCCATATTAGATTTTTACACATCTAAATTATAATAAATTAATTGCATTTCGAACGATGTGCAACAAGCTATAGGTACGTAATGGCTTTGAAACGTCAATAATTTGTAAAAATCGCAATAGGCGGCGGTGGAAAGAAAAACGCGATATTATAAATATAAAATTTGTAATGAAGTTTGACATGTCGCGTTAGTCAAAGTAAACATTGTCACATTACTTTCTAATTGGATATGAAATTCTAACTGTGACTTATCGGAAAATGCTTAAAGAATCAATAAATAAAAAAAGTAGAATGTTATTTTTCAATATCTTTATAACCGAACACACAGATATATGACTAACACTATTTTAGTAACTTAAAAACTGTGTACAGGGGAACCCAGACTTGCTCTGTTTTAGGTTATTGGTTTGTGATTTATATTTAATTTTTTTAACAAGTTTATAGTTAAACGCTCATATTTTCATGAACTGTATTAAGCATAATATGCATTGCCACATTCATTTTATTGATAAAGACATTTAGATTTTTTTAATGCAGTTCCAATTTCCAATTGACAAGGACGTAATTTATAGGTTTGTTCCAACCGGACGAGAGAACCGTCCTAGAACGGTGATTTTCTATCAGTCAATTCATTTGTTAATCTTGACGATCAAAACTTTTCAAACAATAAGTGGGCGACTAGAAATTACCGTCCCAGGATCGGTTCTCTGTCCGGTTGGAACGAACCTTATGTGTTTTTATAGTTCTATTAACACTACTCTTAGGAACGTTTGGTTTTAGACGATATTTCTGAAGAGGGAACATTAGGATTTTCTTCTTCTAATAATGATAATACATACAGCTTTCTTCTCTACTTTGTATAATCCAAAATGCTCATACTATTAAACCTTCGTTTTAATTCCGTGAATATGGATACTTGATGTTTTTGAGAGGGCTTTAAGTAAACAGTAAATTTAGAAATTTAGTTTTAAAAAAGGTTATATGTATTTTAAAAACATGACATTATGGTATTTTTGTAATTGAGATTTAATGACAAAGCCATTGGGCATTGAAAAAATATATAGCATTCTATTTAAAAATACACAACTTTAGTTTCAAAATATGTTTGAATCCCCCTCTATGTTGATAAAAATATTTTCAAAATGTGCATTATCATTGCTC